AAACTGTACAGGAATATTTGTGTTCACTAAATATATATAGAGAACAGACCAACATGACTTTTACTAACCAACACAACTATTACAAACCAACACACCTATTAACAATAGAAACTACCCATAACTGCCTTTTAGAAACTGCCCTATTGTTTTTTATTTAAATTAATTAAATATGTAAAACACACTAAACGACACCACACTAATTGACTCTATACTAACTGACCCAAACATCGACTCATTACCCATTCGGTTATATGTGAACAAACTCGATTAAATCTAACAATCACGCCCTTAATCGTTGTTTGTTCACACTGATCTTCACAACAACGTTGGTTCATCATCTTCAATCAAATTTGCAATCTGTTCCTTTTGATCCCATTTTGGACATTCGTTCAAAAAATGCCCTAACTCATTGCACTTGAAGCACCTAACGTGACTCTTATCCCGCTAAAACCGACCATCATCCTGACCTTTCCCGGACCCCTGACCTCTACCTCGGCCACGTCCAAAGTCTTCTCGGTTTAAGCTCCAGCAACCACAATGCTCACATTTGTGCTCCTGAACCTTCTCTTTTCCATCACCTTTAGTGAAGAGTAGTTTACCATGTGTATCTCCTTCATCAGTTGGCCTTTTGATGCGTTCCTCGAATGCTTTCAATCTTCCAACCGCTTCTTGAAATGGCATTCCGTTAATGTCGGCAAACTGTTCAATTGCAGCAACGATCTGCATGAACTTTTCAGGTACAGAACCCAAAAGCTTTCGAACCAATCTTTTGTCTTCAAATGCAGACACAAGGTTGTTTGCTTGTGTTGCAAGTTGACTAATTTTACCAGCAAAATCATCAAGTGATTCATTGTTCTTCATCTTTAGATTCTTAAAATCTGATTCAAGTGTCTGTAATCGCGCCGCTTTAACCCTGTCAACACCAACAAAGCGAGTCTTCAAAGCATCCCAAATTTCTTTTGCTTCAGTAAACTGGGCAACTTGTAACACGATCTCTTCCGGAAAAGCTTGAAACAGATATGCTATTGCCATATTGTTCTTCTTTGGATCAATTTCTGTTCCTGGTTCGATCACCTCCCAAATCCCATTAACATTAAAAAATGCTTTGATCTTCACAGCCCAAATAGTGTAGTTTGTAGCACTTAGAATTGGAACCGTAAAAGATAGTGAACTATTCTCCCTTGTAGTCACAATCTGCCTATTGTCTTCCATTGCACGACTTTAATTCCTATGACAATTTTCACAAAATTCTTAGACTTTGATTCCTTCATGGGTCGTAAGCCACCTGCAATCGACCGACCATCAACCAGAAGATAAGCCCCTGCTTTTCTGTCTTCCAAGCCGCTAAACGAAAGCTACCCCGCTTATTCGTTTTTCCCGCGCCTTTTGGTTGGAATTCTTCTGCCAAAGAAAAAAAACTAGCAACTTGATGTTCTTTTTCTAGGCGAGGAAGAAATCTGGTCAAAGATTTCTGATCTGTTGTCGAGGAAGTTGAAATGCTCTGGCGGATCCCTTTTGTGGTAGATCGTACACCCCCTGATCGCAATTCACACCGCTCTGATACCAAATGTAGAAAACTGATAGGAAGAACAGATTGGTATGCAGAATAGAATTTTTATTGATGTAAACTGTACAGGAATATTTGTGTTCACTAAATATATATAGAGAACAGACCAACATGACTTTTACTAACCAACACAACTATTACAAACCAACACACCTATTAACAATAGAAACTACCCATAACTGCCTTTTAGAAACTGCCCTATTGTTTTTTATTTAAATTAATTAAATATGTAAAACACACTAAACGACACCATACTAATTGACTCTATACTAACTGACCCAAACATCGACTCATTACCCATTCGGTTATATGTGAACAAACTCGATTAAATCTAACACAAAACACTCTATGATCAAACACTTTATCGCCTAGCCGACGCCTTACCCCACTACCAAACATCTCTATGTCATAAATAAAAACTTTTTTCCCACAACACAGATCACTTAGATCCTCATTTGAGTGCCATTATCTTCCTTGTAGAATGTTTTAATGCTCTTTGGCTTGTTCTAATAGAGTTCATGAGGAATAAATGTTCAAACATTATCTTTATTGATGGTAGATCATTGTTGGGTGAGATCTATTTCCTTCCTTGAGTGAAGAAAAATGCGTACCATCATCAGTCCATCACTGAGTGAAGGGATGATGTTGTTGAATCTTTTGCTCATATCTTTTATGATCTCATTTGTCTTCATCTTGAAGCTCTTATACTTGGAAATACAAAGTGCAATTGCTTTATTTAATTGTTCTCATGTGTTATCTTTAACCAGTCACATACTTCATATGCAGACTTACAATGGTTTTACTTGTGAAAACATTGGGACCAAGTCCATAATACAAAGTGCTAATGACTTAACCAATAAGAGACATGTATTATCAGTGTCACCTATTTCAACTCTTTGCTTCAGAACACATGTCTCATGTACATGACTACATGTTTAATATTGGAACCCAATGGATTCATCATCTTCCACCCCTGATCCAATTCCATAAATAAATCTTCCACAAATGACCCTCCTGAGATTACAGTGTATAACTTAATAACTTTATATAAATATTGGGTACAAAGAGTCCATGGTTTTGTTGATTTGTTGGATAGTGTATTGCAAAATTTGTATCTTTATTTCTGAAACGTTTCAAATGCATGGTTTGAAAATATGGACAATTTAAAATGGTTTGTGCAGTGCGTTGAGATGAATGAATAATATATACAATTCACAAATCTTTAACATAAAAATAAACTATAAGAATTAATATTAGCTTGCCAAAAAGGGTTCTTGACTGGAAGTGAATTGTGTATTTCGTGCAATCTTAATGTTTATTAGCATTTTATTATTTGTGAAGTTAAAAAGATTAAGTAGCTCTAAAACAACAGCAACAACAAGTCAACAACAAATTCAGTAAAATCCCACTAAAATTTGGGTTTGGGTAAGTAGCACTAAAAGAGAGTACAAAACCTGTGGAGCTCCTTGCCTTTTTGTTCACACATCTCAAGAGTGAGAAATTTTTTTTAGCTTTATTTCTCACTTAAACCAAACAATACAAAAGCTACCCACTCTATCAAATCATTCTCTTTCTTAGTCATTTCTCTGTACTCACTTTGTTGACTCATTCAAAGAAGCAACAAAAACAAATGTCTCTCATGTTTGGAGGGGGGCAGTATTTAGTGTGACCCTGCTGACATATAGTTTGGTTTTATTGAATTTCTCGTAAACTCCATTCATAAGGGTCATGTTTTCAGTTAAAGAAAAATATGTTTTCATTTTCACTCTGGTCTTAGTAAATCTTTGCAATGCATTTTTTGTTTTCTTAATAAGTGTGCCAGTAGAGATGTATCAATGGAGAGTATATTTCTCAAGTATAAAATGCTTCACTTTTAAATCTTTTCTGAGACACACATCCCCACCAACCCAGTAGAATTTCAACTCCTCTGCGGTCTAGGGGTCAAAATGTATACAGCCTTAACCCTGTAGAAACAAGGAGTCTGTTTTTGTTAGACCCTAATTTACTCCCAAAAACATCATAGAAAAGTAAGAAGCCATGGAAGTTTAATGTTCCCTTTGGTTGTCTCATTGTTAATAATGACTCTTTTTAGCTCCATTGACTATGGACTCTCTCTCTCTTTCTCTCAATGTGTGTGTGTGTGTCTATATAAAGTTATTTCCAGATAGGCAGATACTGAGATGGCGTTCCCTTCTTAGTTCTTACGTCCCAAATTCAGCATTGACATTGATGAATTGATTGTTTGTGGTGGAAAACACATAGAAAAAAAAAGACCACACAGAATTCATTAAACAAGAACTCCCAATTGATAAGCAACCAAATCCTAATGCAAAGCTTCACTCTTCTTTATATCTTTGATATTTTGTATTTTTTCCCTGGTGGATTTATTTAGCATTGAAATGTCTGGGATCTTGGCTTACTCAATGGTGGATACACACACACACACACAGATATATAGACACACATACATACTCTGTATATGTACACACACACACACATATACATATATATACACACATATGCATATACATATATGTATGTATAATTTCTTTTCTTACATACAATCCAGTATGGAAGAACAAGTGATTAGTCGTGCTCACAGGATGGGTGCAACACGCCCTATTTATGTGGAGACTTTGGCAATGAGTGGTACGATTGAAGAGCAAATGCTCAAATTCTTAGAGGTACTGTTCATTTTGAACATTTTGAATCTATCAACTATTGTTTCCTTTTGAGATTTTGAATATATCAACAATTGCTGCAGATCAACATGTCAGGTTTTCAGCATATATTTACTTATTGTGAAATTTCTTTTAGTTTCCCACCTGTATTTAGGGGATTGGTTCGAAGACCAAGTATCGAAAGGGATAAATCTAGTACTGGTTTTCTAACATGATAGATATAAGTGGGGGGGGGGGGGTGTGGAATTCGCAAGAGGTGATAAATATGTGTTTTATTAAGGGCTAAATTTCTATCAAGATGTTAGCATTGCTGTTACAGCGTGTTATTTGATTAGAATGCTAATGAATAATGATGAGAACAGAGATAATTTTTTTTCCTGAATGAAAACCATTAGGCTAATAGCCACTATTTTGTACTACGCATTTGATATCAACAACAACCCAGTATAAACTCAGTCATGTTGGGCTTTGAGTTCAAGAGTGCACTGGTACCCCTGTAATAAACACAGAGACTTTTTTCCGTTAGACCCCCAATACGTTGGTGCATTTACTTTCCAAAACATAAAACTAAAAAGCGTGGGAATTTTAATGCGTCATTTTGTTTTAGTGAGTTATTTGGCCGAAGCTGAAACATTATCAACCGAGACTATTTTAGCCCCATTGGCACTGGGACATTATTTAGATCCTTTCACATTAAGATATGGGCCACATTCAATTTATTTTGGTCAAAGTTGTTTTTTTTTGCACAAAATGATTAATAATGGGAAGAAATATGAAAATTTTCTTTGTTAAGAACACTTACTTGAAGTTATAAAATTATATGTTCTATGTTTCAAAAAATGGCCACATTTCTTGTTTTTCCTCTTAAATACAGGTAGCACTTTCCTTTATGGTATGTTTGGGAACATGAATTTGGATTTCAAATCTGGATTTGGCTCAAATTCAATGTTTGGGAAATTTAAAAAAATTGAATTTGATTCAAATTCCTCTCATTCACAACAAAGTTCAATTTGAAATTCATACACCTCTTGTCATTCAAAATTCAAGATTTCAAATTTTGGAATTGAAATGCATGAATTGAAATGAATGTTAGTACTAAATACTACCTTAAAGAAATGATTATATGGTATGCATAATTTCCCTCATGTGCGGTGCTCTCTAACCACGCATATTCACCTCTCTAAATAACGGTGCTTGGCCAAACGTGGAATCCTAGTTCAGGACGGAGGGAATAGTCTACTACAATGTACTCCCTCCGTCCCGCAATAATGTTGTTCCACAACTGATGGGGTACATAGATTAAACAATGTGAAATTTTGTAGTTGAAAGTGGTACAAAGGAGAGAAATTACAATATCCACAAAAAATTTTCCAAAAATGGAAAGTGGAACCTTTTTTTGGGACGGTAGAAAAAAGAAATTTGGAACATTATTGAGGGAGTATTAGATTGAAAATATTAACTGAAACTCAAATCTTTTACCATAGAAGACTATTGCCTATCATTATGAAATGAAGTGTGGTAATCATGTGTACATTTTGATTGGACTGTTCTTCTGCATTTTGTGTCAGGATCCTGATGCATGTAGAAGCCTGCTGAAGGAAGTGCATGATAAACAAGGACGGGATGGATCAAGGCTTCGTCGCTCAGTACATGACTTTGCAGAAAACAACTATCTGGCTCGCCTGAGCTTCGTTCGGACAACTTCTGAATCCAGCACATAACTGTATCTAATACTTTATTTTGCCGTAGATTACGTGAAGGAGTACATGGTTCAATTTTGGAACACATTTTTGTTCTTCCTTTTGTCATTGGAAGAACATTTGTGGGGTAGTTAAATTGTACTAACCTTTTTTGTATGAATTGATAATTAGTAAGTTTCCTTTTAAGTTTCATTCAATCAATGCTCTCTTGATGATCAAGTGGTTTAAGTTAATTGGTAATGCTAACCATCTTGGTGTTGAATAACTCCGCCCTTGGTGTTGTTACACTCTAGTAACATAGAGGTGTGAAGTGATTATCATTGTCTTTGATTTGAAAAGTCCTACAAAGAACTCTGTTAATGGTAGTCATGACATTTCCATTGTTTTATCATGGAAATTCATGTTTTTTGAAAACAAAATGCTATTGTTTTAACATGTAAATTCATGTTCAAATGCCTATTCGAATAGAGTAATTTAGCAACATGTGACAGAGAACATTTTTTTTCGAGACCAAAATTGTTGCCATTAAATAGTACTCCAATAGATAAGTGATGTCTACAAATATTAGAGTTTTTATGAATTATGACCATACTTGTCCAATCATATCCACTCAACTCTATTTCTTTTACTCCCTCCACAAAGTTTCAAGATATGTACATACATTACATGTTTCACTCCAATTTGAGTGTATCAGCAGTGTGAATTCTTTATATTTCAGCTTCTATACACTTGTCTGGAACAAAAGAATGGGTTACAAAGTGAGTAATATGTTAAAGAAAAAACCCAAAGAAAAAAGAACCTAAACTCAACTCCATTCTATTTTCATGTACAATTGCAGCATGACCTAACTGAAGCTCTTCTTCTGTTCATAGCAGCTGCTGCCCCTTTTAGCTGTCTTCTGCAAAAGCTTTGAGTATGAAATTCCGGAAGCGGTGGGAATACTGCCTCGGATCAACAGCAGAGATGGAGGTGGGGTCGTATTGGAACGACTTGTACGCGTGCTCGAGCTTCTTGCTGATGTCATAGTCTTGTAGGATGTCTATTATACCGAAGAAGAGAATGACATCATAGTACTGCCCAGTTGGTTCCCCTACTAGCAGCTCATCACTTCTCCTCACTGTCAATTCTGCCTTTGCTGACATGTTGATGCCTAAACTTCCACCTGCCGGAAACCTGCCATATTCATTTGTACACTACACACAGTAAGACATACTCCCTCCGTCCCACTGTTTTTGTCCACTTTTCCTTTTCGAGCCGTCCCACTGTTTTTGTCCACTTACTTAATTTGGTAAGAAAAACTTATCTAAAAGTCTGCTTTACCCTTCAAGTTCACGTGTGGTTAAAGGAAGAAAATGCATTGCACAGTGCTTTGTACAGTACATTTGAAATGCTCAATGCTTCCTACAGTGATCAATTTCCTATCCTTCTCATCGTGGCCCATAAGGGCAGTTTAGTCCTTCTATACTCTCTTGTCCCACTTACTTGGTAATTGTGCCAAAAGTAAAGTGGACAAAGAGAGTGGGACGGAGGGAGTACTACTATAAGAAATCATAAGAAATCTACCTAAATGGGACTAAAACATTAAGCTTATGACATCCTATGCTTTTATTTCCTAAATAGGAGCTTTGGCACAATGCACTGCCACCACTTGACATTGTGGCATTGGCATTTCATAGTAATTTTTGGCATTATATATCGACACTCGTTGGCATTAACAGTCATATTGTCTCATGTTAGTCCTAGTTAGGCTGTGCTCCCATAATTCATCTTCTGTTGTCGTTCTTGATCATGGTAATGACCAAAAACTTCTTGCGAATTCAAAAACAACATCAAACCCAGTAAAATCCCATAAAAAGTGGGGTCTGGGGAGGGCGTTGTAAGCAAACCTTCCTAATACTCGGAATTAGAGAGACTATTTTCAAGAGATTCTTAGCTATAACACAGAATGGTAAAATTTTCTTCATTTTTTTCATTTACCTGGAAGAGCCAGATTCAGCACTAGAATGTCTAGGTCCTTCACCATCAAAATCTCCAGTTTCTGCAAGAAGGATAAAAAAAAAAGCAGTAAGCTCATCTATGGATCTAGTACTGCATAAATGCCTCGGGAAGCTGAAGACTCTATAAGATTTATTAGATATATAACCTCCATGTGTCCCAACTCGACAACTATGAGCATCTATTGAGATTGGTTCACCAGAGCTTGAAACTTGCTTGAAGTGCACACCAACCAAAAGACTGTAATCCATGATTCTCTCTTGTTCCAGGAAGTCACAGTCGTGGTCCACTTGCCTGCAAGAAAATGGAACATATAAACATTTCTTCCGTGCGTAGTTAAAATCTACAACTAAAATCTATAAAATGGTCACCTGCAGAACTCTTCGTACCAAACTTTGGGTAGCCGAAACACAAAATTGAGATCCAGATCCTTGAGTGTGGTAGTGGAATCGATTTCAGATTCAGGTTTATCGGTCAAGCGGCCAAGGGAAGAACCTTTCAAGTCATAACGTCTGTGAATGACATACTGACTACAAAATAGATTCCCCATGATAACAAACCGCACCTGTACATTGACCAGCCATTGTTATGGATTAAAAACACTTTTATTAAGTATACAGACACTGCAAAATGTAACACTTATTTGTGTGTGTGTGTGTGTGTATTGACAGCTACCTTCTTTTGAGCTGTCCCAGTCATCTTCACGCAATGAAGACCAAAAAATTTGGTAACTAAAGTGTTTTCAAAGGCACGAACGTGACTGTAATAAGCAGGAAGCATTCGTATGAACACCTGCAAGTGTTGATGAGTGATTAAGATAAGGAAAAAAACAATGACTGAATGTTTGACCATTGCAAATCTATGGATTAGATTAATGGATGAACTCACTTTTACTTCTGATTTTTTCATCGTCTTTATCATGTACTTGTCATCATTGGTCAGGTAAAAGAAGCTCCCACTTTTCCCAGGGGAAGACAGCTCCCGTAGAGCATCGTTGCCACATATGGATATCATGTAATCTGCTGGGTCCACCTTAAACAATTTTCTTAGTGTCCTGAAAACCAGTGGGCAGTAATCCTTCCATCTAAAATCACAGGATTGATGAGGGGGAGTGTGCTTTGTTCCTTCTGGGGGAAATCTTGTCCATATCTTTTCCCTGGGGTCAAAAGCCGTGGCTCTCAGGTCGAGTGATGTATTTGGAGCAGGTCTTCCTACAGAATGTCTAAGCAACAACACTATAAATAAACCACTCGCAGCAAGACTTTAAAAAAACTCAAGACAAAGAATATATATTCATCATCAGCATTTTCTTAGAAAAGGGTACAAATATATTTAGAAAAAAAGATGAGATCACAATTGAGAAATTGAGAAATTTAAGAATGTGAGATAGGTACCTTATTCCAAGCTGCAAGTTGAGCATGAGATCATAATTCTTATGCCCTTTTGATATTGTGTCTCCCTGAGTCTTTGCTGGTTGGATCCGGATGCAATGGTTTCTGAATCCCCTAGAAGTCTCTGAATCAAAGCTCTCAAGCCCTTCACTTCTTTGTGATCCAAAATGCCCACTGAGTATATCCGAATGTGCATCTGTGTCGTTGTCCAAACTAATCCCCTCTCCATCACTGAGCCTCCCATCCACAGACTTTCGTCTAGGCTTTGATTTAGTCTTGTGAACCTTCCCAATGTGCTGTTTCTGCAGGAACTCCCCTTCACAAGGCCAGCTTATCATCTTCTCTGAAGGGCACCCGCATATCTCCTCTCCAGTACTAACCTTGCATTCCTGCATGTGAATCGAATACAACTCTTGAGGGTCCCAATCATGAGAATCAACAGCTTGTGAATCTGGAGTGTAAAACGTCCCAGTCTGCTCCGCGGGGTCCTTGCTAAAGACACCCACATAGAAACTGCCGTCCTTCCACCTAAAGGTTCCATTCCCTTTAGGCTCTCCGTCCTCCCAACACCCGTCGTAATTATTCCCATTCTCCCATGTCATTGTCCCGTTCCCACTCATCTTCCCGTTCCTCCACTGCCCAATGTACTCATTCCGGTTGCTCCACTGGTACCTCCCCTGCCCGTCGGGCAGCCCACGGCGCCATTCTCCAACGTAGTAGTCCCCATTGGCGTAATTCGAAAAGCCCCTACCGTGTTTCAGGTTGAAAACCCAAGAGCCTTTGTAGGTGTCATTGGAACACCCAGTGAAGAGGCCCTCACCATCCATGTACCCATTCTTGAATTGGCCCTCATAGGTGGCTCCAGAAGGCCAGCTGAACTTTCCCCTGCCCGTCGTCTTGCCACTGACCCAATCCCCAACATACATGCACCCGTCTGACCACAGATACTTCCCGTGCCCATTGGGGCAGTTATCTGACCACTGCCCTGTGTACATATCTCCATGTGAGAAAATCTTCTCCACATGGTACACCTCCCCAGGGGCATCAAGGTCATCGTCCACATGGGCCACCGACATTGTGGAGAAAATTCCGTTCGCCCTTTTCTTTGCAGCTGCTTGTGATTTCCTTAATGTCAATTCCCAGGCCTTCACAATGCCACTGAATTCTTTGCTCATTCTCTCTTCTCTTCTATTCCTAACCCCCCTTTCTTCCCCCCCTTCCTTTTCTTCTTTTTCTTCTTCTTCTTCTTCTTAACCCAAACCAATCTTCATTCTCTTACTACCCAATGAGAGCTCCAGACAAAAACACCCAAGCATTTCTAGGAACACCTTGTGGGGATGATTAAAGAAGGCATCACAGATATGGGACCTGTGATAAAATCAAACACAAAAACGAAAAGCAGGTCTGTCCTGGCTCTGGGAAAGATTTCACCAACAGAAGCCCTGTTGCATTGACAGGAACAACAATGAAAAACCAAAAAAATTTTCAACAAATAATCATCAAAACCCAATACCAAGAAAACCAAAAGAAAAAGGTCCCTACTGCTTGATTTGATTGATTTGATAAAAACCCAGGCTTCTTTCCTCTCCTCTCCTTCTCTGGTCTTTTTTATTTAAATTTCTAAACAGAAATTTTGTTAGATTTGGCAGGAAAGCAAAACTGGCAGGAGGAACCTAAAGACTGTCTTTTTCTTTTTGGAGTTAAGATTTCTTTTTTCGTGATTTCTTTATTTTTTCTTTTCCGGACTTTTTTTTTTCTTCTGGGTTACTAAAAATTCCTGTCCTTTCACAATCTTCTGTTTTCTTTTTCTTGATTGGGGGCTGTCAACCTGAGGTTGACCAGTTTCTTGATTCCCGAGTTTTACTGCGAGATATGCTTATACGCATAACAACTGTATGGGTGACATTGACTATGGCTTTTTCAACCATTTTCTTTGGCGTTCTTCTACGAGGTAATTAAATATACTGCGTGCATTTCCATTCCATGTGGTCTGTTGAATTGACTATTGGATATTACGCTGAAACTAGCTTCTTTAACTTCAATGAAATGATTTTTTTTTGTTTTGTTCGAAAAAAAAAATGAATTTGTTTTGTAAATCAAAAAATAGGGAGGGTTCTGCGTTGCCCCCCTACGCAGCTAAAGCTGACCTACTCTCCTTACCTTTTTTTGTTTTCTTTTGTTTTTTTGGAGTATGTTTTTGTTTTACTTGAAATCTATTCTCCATCTCACAATAATTTACTCCCCTCGTTCCTAAATATTTGCCACACTTGTATTCCTGAAACAAAATATTAGCTTTTTTCAATTCATTTTATTTACATATTGGTATAAAAATCAAAAATAAAATTTACATATCAAAAAACTACATGAAAAGTTCTTCGAAATAAGAGATGTTAAGAATATTTTATTTTATCAAATAACCAATGAAAACGTAGAAATAAAAAAAAGTTCTCGCGACTGCTGCAAAAGAAAACGTTGCTAATATTTGGGGACAGAGGGAGTATTTATTTTTCTTATCCAAATATTTCATATATTTTGATTTCACACAAATTAAGAAAATTATTAATAAAATTTTGAATAGGTATACTCCCTCCGTCTCAGAATTATGGCCACACTTTGAACAACATGCAAAATCTTATATCTTTTTTTAAAATCATTTTATGTTTACATATTAATATTGAAATAAAAAGTACACATTACATACTTCGTATTTCAAAGATACATAAAAAATTTGACCTCCTTCGTTCCCATAAAAAAGTTTTACCTTCGACTTGACACATACATTAAGAAAAAAATTTGTGTACTTGAAAATGATGTAGATGAAGAAGAATTTTAAGAGCCACATTTTTTTCCGAAAAATAAAAGGTGGAATTTGTTTTGGAATGGACAAAAAGAAATTTTGTAACATTTTTTAGACAGATAGAGCATAAAACAGTATGGGATATTAATATTTTTTATCAAATGGTCAATGAAAACGTGCAATCAAACAGACATTAGCGAGAATCAATGATAGTAATTGTAACTATAAATTTGGGGCGAAAGAAGTATAAAAGCTAAAAAGTGAATCTAGACCCAATCCCCGATAATAATTGTAACTATAAATTCGGGGCAAAAGAACTATAAAAATGGTATAAGTACAACTTAATCGTCTAGGATTACAACACCAATAACCCTAGACCCACGGTCACGGTAGGGAGGTACCGTTGTCACGTATCGATGTACCGTATGTACGGTAAGGGGGTATTGTGAGTGACGGTGTGTGGGTACCATGTTCCCTCAAAAATCAAACCTCTTTGGCGGAACCTAGGCTCTAATGGTAGGGCTTACCGTTGAGGCGGTAGGATGTACCGTTAGGGGTACCATATGCCTCATCCAGTTTTTCCAAAATTCGCTTAATCTTTCTCGTTTGTGTTCAAAACCTTTTGGATGTTTGAAAATGTTTATAGGGTGGTTTTAAACATGTTTTGTGAGTGCGTTTTGAGCTTGTGAATATAGATATATAAAATCATATCCTTACAATAGTTTCTACCTATATTTTACGCTAGTTTAGTGTTTCGATTTCATTCTTGAGAACTGAATCTTAATGGATTTTTGTTGTACCTGAAACACTTAAACAAACATTATTATTTGACCTAAGTTATTTTTAAAATAATTTGTTTGAGAATTTTAAAAACAAAATTTAAATACTCTCTCCTTCCTAAAATGTTCTTCTCAGTTACTACTCACACGGTCAAACTTAATCACTTTCTTTACCTATTTTTGTTAGTTATTTGATAAAATAATATAATCTTATCATCTCTTGTGTTGTAGAACTTTTGATGTATTTTTTAAATATATAAATTTTATTTTTTAATTTTACATCTACAATAAAATAAATTGAATTGAAAAAATAAAGTCGATCAAATATCGTACACAGAAACATGAGGATTTAACATGCAACTTACATGACTATCTGATTTTGTTAAATGACTAACAAAAATAGGGAAAGAAAATTAATAAAATTTGACTATGTAAATAATTAATATGCAATTTAATTGTTTTCACCATCGCATATTATAAAATGCATTTAATATTGTTTTATGTATTATTCTATCGAGGTAAATTAATCAAATTTTGCCAAACTAATGTAACATATAAATCTAAAATATTACATACATGATTTTCAATATTTATATTTTATAAATCTTAAATTTTGTTTGATGCAAGTGCATTAATTTCTTTTACATACTACATATATATTATAATAAATAATGTAAGTTAAATGATTCAAAGTCGATATTGGTCCATCATTTGAACTATGTCTATTAGAATTTAGGATTTGCTAATTATTCAAATATTAATCAAATCCAATTACAAATATCATTTAGAATTTGTTTCATACAGAGCATTTGTATTCGCATTTTTCAGAATTAAAGAAATACAAATTCAAATGCTTTGGTGTTTGATTCGTTTATATCCCAACCATTGTGGTACAACACCATTAGCACCCCCACTCCCGCGGGCCCCCGACTCCACCGGGTTGATTCCAGTCCAATTCTAGAAGTGGTGCTTTTGTTCGGATTAGTAGTTCTCCATTAGACCAATTCATCGCACCAAATGCTGTTGTGACAGAGAAAATGACCAAGCTGCTACGACATTACACTCGGGACCAAACACACACGACATATGCATTCAAGCGGCAAACCTTTGTGATGTCAGAAAAATCACAATGATGCCTAAAAGACTGAACCAAGAGTTCATCACCAAGTTACATAGTAAACACCCCGTTCTCCCCCTCGGGTGTTGTTTACTTGGGCTATGTTTGGCATTAGCTTCAGTATTTTGAAAATGCTATCAAACGATAGCTTTTAGCTTCAACGTTTTCCACTAAAAGTTTGTCCAAAATGCTAACCACAAAAGCTATTCCCAAATCTTGCATTTCAATAAGCTCATTAACTACGTAGTTCATAAACAGGCTACATAAGCTTAAAACCATCACAAACTATATCCAAAGTAGATCAGAAGACTACTCATCAATAAGGAAGAAGTAGGCTATGAACACAACAATCACAACTTCATACTATGTCAAATTTGATACAAAAAAGATCAAAAGTTTGGAGCTTCTATTTGTAACCACAATGAATAGTTCAAACAATTCATTTATACAGCCAAACACCTATTTACTTTCCAGAGTAGAATATTAAACATAGTCAGAAACTAAGGCAAAGTAACCTTTGAACAGAGTCCCAAGCTTCTCCTCTTCTAGAACAAGAACTTCTAGCATCAAGAATCTCCATCTTCTCCAGAGCTAATTGCATCAATAATCTTCAATAATGACATTGCTTTGCTCCTCCCCTTCTCGCTTCCATTCTCTGCAACTTTAGTGATTCCATCCACCGCGCCTAAAATCAACCCACGGATACCGTCGGTGGCCTCTTCCCCACTGCACTGCACCAAATTCAATAGAGCTGAAACTGCATTTTCTTTAGTCCTATTGCTTGATCCGGTGGCATCATCCAGCAAATCCACCAAAACGCTGACACCGGACACCTTTCTGAATGCCTCCCAGCTCTCCTGGCAACCGGCAATCTGGGCAATCACGGCAGTGGCATCTTCTAGAACACCGACCCTGCCATCCTTGCAGAGCAGGGAGAACAGTGCCGGCACCACCCCTAGCTCGATTATTTGGGCCCGATTGAGAGGGTAAAGTGCGACGCTGAAAAGAGCTTTGAGCGCATCCTTGATTGACCTAGATGCCGAATTAGGGTTTCTCACGATGTCGATCAGCCCAAATAGGATGTCCCGCTTGTGGCCAATGATCGGCCGGTTAGTTTCCACGGTTAGGAGGCTGAAGACGGTTCCGGCGGCGCACTGGGCAGTAAAGGCAGAAGTCGGATTCCTGAGGGCGTGGGAGAGAGCGTCAAGGAAGCCGTGCGTGGATACGAGAGCATCCTTGGAGGAGATAGAGATGTTGTGCAACGCGGCGGCGGCGTTCTCCTGGCAGACTTCGTCGGAAGAGTATAGCGATTCCGAAAGGTAAGGAATGGCCCCGGCGTCGGCGATCAGCGGCCGACTTTCTTCGTCGGTTCTGGATATGATTCGAAGCTCGCAGATCGCTTCTGTTCGGATTTGCTCCGAAACTGAACCCAGCTTCGCCACCAGATTATCCACCGCCCGCCTTTTCACCTCCATTCCTACTCCGGATTCCTGCTCGGTGTTATAGCCAGACAACTTGGCTATTGGCTATGAAGAATTGCAGAAGAGGCGGAGAAATCTTGATGGAGAAGAAAGATCAGAGATATTTTAGGAGAGGAAAAATAAGAAGAAACTGTATTCTCAGGAGGGTCATTTGTAGAAGAAACCAGAGTGCCCTCCTTTAGGACTATCATGGTGTCAATTGATGATACGAAGTACTCCCTAGTGGGCAGGTCCTATTCGTCCAGTTTTGACTTTTAGAACGGTTCATCTAAACATTTTGATTCATCAAATTTTTCTCAATGTGTAAATCTAAATATAGTCATGTGTGATCTTGTTTGATTTGTCTTAACATATAGATTATTAATATATAATTTCTATAATTTTTTAATATACAAAATACAAGATAAAATGGATTAAAGAAGTGCATTAGATGGTGTGTAAAAATGAAAGTGAACAAATATTATGGGACGGAGGTAGTATTAATTTTCAGCTGGTCATTAGGACCAATCATCAATTTTCCATTCCTTCGTAAATAGTCACCCTGAGAAGAGCACTGGGTATGGTAACGCCGAAGGGCGTGAAGGTCTGAGGGCGTTAAACACCGCCCCCGGCGTCATCCAGGAGGGTCATTCGTTTGACGCGGCTCAGCGAGCCGTTACTCCTCCCCCAACGGCTATATAGACGTTCCCCCCCCCCAATTAAAAAAAAATCAAAATTTAAAACAAAACCTATAAATTCCCCTAAAAAAATCATTCTCTCACACATTTTTCTCACACATCTCTCTATCTTCTCTCTAAAATATTTATTACTTATTATAAATATTTATAAAATATATTTTAAAAATGGGTTCATCTTCATCCGACGATGAAAAAGGAGCTCTCTTTTTTCGTTGTTTCGCCACGAATTATATTCAATGGTGGGAAGAATGCGAAGAAGAAGAAGCTGAATCCTCCCGATGACGGACCCGACGACAACGTTTAAACTGGGATCGAGCGGCCGCCCACGCTTCACTTCTAAACGACTACTTTAATAATCCGTGTGTTTATACACTGGAGGATTTTAGTAATCGTTTTCAGATGAGTCCTCCTCTCTTTTTACGCATACTCGCCGATGTTGAACGCGAAGTTCCTTGGTTCACCCAATGCTTTGATGCGAGAGGCCGACGCGTGTTTAGTAGCGTCCAGGAGTGCACTGCCGCGCTCTGTCAGTTAGCATACGGGACGGCATCTGATATGTTCGACGAATACTTGAAGATGTCAGCTCGGATCAGGTCCTGTGTTTATAAATTTTCTAAAGCTATTATTCAAATTTATCATAAAAGATATTTACGCAAGCCTACAGCGAGCGACATCCAGCAGTTGCAGGCAAGGCATGCCGCTAAACACGGCTTTGTCGGCATGCTTGGGAGTATTGATTGCATGCATTGGGAAGGAAAAATTGTCCCACAGCGTGGCACGGTCAATTCGCCCGGGGAGATCATCCCAAGCCTACTATCATGCTCGAAGCTGTTGCTTCGAATGACTTGTGGATTTGGCATGCTTTTTTCGGTGTCGCTGGCTCAAATAACGACATCAACGTTTTCGATCAATCGCCTGTTTTTGACAATTGGGTTAATGAGACCGCACCAGACTCCTCTTTTGAGCTTAGAGGGATGCTTTACAAGCACGAATATTATTTGGCCGATGGAATATATCCAGATTATTCCACGATTGTCAAATCCCTCTCCGAACCAATGGGTCTTAAATGCCAGACCTATAAAAAAGCTCAAGAGGCGGCGAGAAAAGATATTGAACGAGCCTTTGGGGTCTTGAAGGGTAAATGACATATTCTAGATCGTCCGTCGAAATGTTATTCTTAAACAAAAATGAGGAATATCATATACGCATGTATTATTATTCATATTATTATCATAGAGGCCGGACAATGGGACTGCGATTTGTCAATACAACCCAGACGAGGAGGTGCCTATGTACGAAGAAATCACCGTAGAAAAGAAACGAAGAAACCGCCAAGAAACTCGAAGCCTAGAGATTCACAATGCACTAACGGCGGATTTGATCGAACATATCTTTAGTCGCTCGAATAATTAGTGATTTCTTTGTAGTGTTGTTTTTTATGTAATATTTTTTTAATGAATGTAATTTTTTTATGGATGTATTTTTTATAAATGTAATATTTTTTTTATGAATGTAATTTTTTAATGCACTAGTCTCATTGCGATTAATTCAAATAATAAATTAATTACATGTTATTAATTTAATTTTAGAAGATGTATATTTAAAAATGTAAAAAATGAAGGTTTGAAGCCCCAATTTGAAGCTCTGGGGCTTCAAAACCATTTCCAGTGAATTTTGGGAGTAAGTTAAAGCTGACGTGGCAGAGAGAGAAAGTTTGAAGCCCCGGGGCTTCAAACGTATTTCTAATTCTCTGAAATGTAAAGTTCTTGATAGGTTGAGAATGCTTGAGGACTTGGATCATATGCATCAGATTCACATCCAATTGATAGCTGTCTTGAATCATCTTTCCCAACTCTGAGGCCACCACAGAAATTGCCATAGTCATTAACTCAGATCCATGTATCCTTGAAAAGGCATCGGCAGCCACATTTTCCTTCCCACTCTTATATACAATTTCATAATCAAACCCCAACAATTTAGATAGCCAGAATTGTTGGAAAGGTGTGGAAATCTTCTGTTGTATAAGTCATTTCAAGCTCTTTTGATCAATTCTTATGATGAAATGGCTACCTAGCAAATATTACTCCCACTTTTGTACAACAAGGACAATAGCCAACAATGTCTTTTCATATACTGACAACCTTTGCCACTTTGGTCCCAAGGCCTTGCTGATGAAGGCTAGGGGATGCTGTTTCTGCATAAGAACAACCCCAATTCCCTGTTTGGAAGCATCTATTTCAAATTCAAAGGGCAGGGCAAACTTAGGGACTGCTAGCACAGGAGCTGTAGATAGGGCCAATTTGAAAAAATGCCCCTTTCTTTAAAAGATCCGTGAGGGGTTTGCTGAGCACTGCATAGCCTTTTATAAACTTCCTATAATAGCCTGCTAACCCTAGAAAACTCTGACTGATGAGGGAATTGGCCAGCTGGTAATGGCATCATTTTTTGTAGGGTCTGTTTCCACTCCTTTGGCAGAAATAAAGTGGCCTAAGTACTCCACCTTATCACTCATGAAGGTACATTTACTCACTTTGCATACATCACATTATTCTTCATGAGCTGAAAAACTTCTTGTAAATGAATCAAGTGCTCCTCCTTACTTTTATTGTAAACCAATATATCATCAAAAAATCAAAACAGACCTCCTGAGCAGGGGTTAAAGACCTCATTCATCCAGCCTTGAAATGAGCCAGGGGCATTGTAACACCATAATCTGTCCAGGTCTGTAGCCCCTTTCGGACAAAGGTATAAACTTGGTATTCGTAGACATTCAAAAATATTTCAAACATTTAAAACTTTATTTCATAACAAGTCATTCAAAATAGTAACAGAGTAATTTAATGTTGTGGAAGCTTAATAAAGTTTTGAGTTTTTATCTTTGATTTTTGCTTTTAGACACATTCAAATATTTTTCATACTTTTAGTTTTCAAAAACCACTCTCAATTTTTGGTCGTTGGTCTAAACACGTGGAAATGGTCTTTGACTTGGTGACCCGTGGTTTATGACCTTGAAGACTTGGTTTCTGACCTTTGCCTTGGTTTTTGCTTTATATACCATAGAGTTTCCAACACTTTAGGTATTTTTTTCATTTTTAGTAAAACTTAGTATTTTTTAAAATTAATTTATTTAGAAAATCGTATATGAATGATTAAATATACATATTAAAAAACTACATTGAAATTGTTATAAAAAAGAAGTGATAAACATATTTTATTTTATTAAATAATCAATAAAAAATAAAAATCATCGAGAAGTATGTCCCAAAGAAATTGTAATTCGTTTTCGGACGGCGGGTGATGGGTATATCCTTATACCCGGCCTGAATAAACAAAAGGGTCAAGTCAAAATATGACCGCTCACTTTCTTCAATCACCAAATGAGGACAACTTTTTGATTGAGACCGGTCTAAAGTTGACCGGTCACTTTCCTTAAAAAGTGACCGGTCACATTTTGGGCGATAACCAAAATGTCACCTAATGTTACGAAGGATATTCCGGAAGACCAAAGAGACGGGTTGAACTCAAGAAATGACCGGGTAATCTTTGAGGAAAGGTGACCGGTCATCACTTTACTTGGCTAACATTGGTCCAGTCTCTTAGGCATGGCGAACCACGCCAAAGATCAGGGAACCACCCCGCCGCTCATCCATCACGAGGCATACAGTGAAAGAAATATTTGTCATCTTGCAGGGTTGATTGGATTGAGAATATCCATCTTATAGTCATTGATTGAATAGTGCTTCTTGGTTGTATTCATGACAAGTCTATGATTGAATAGTAATTTTATTATGTATAGTGACCTTCCTCCAGGTTTCCTATTTTGTCCATAGATAAACATGAGAAGGTCACAAATCCTCCTCTATAAATATGATGATTATGGATAGAGGAGGGGATCCATTCTTTATCTCACTAAAAGTACACTCTTGAGACAGAATAAGAAATATAATTCGGACTGAGGAGATTTACCCAGTCTAGGTCATACTTTGTGTTCTTGTTGTGTGTATTATACTACGGGTCGAGTGTGTCCAGATCGAACCCAATTAACCTACCCAGTTATATTTACACCATCAGCGTATTTTTTTTCATTTTAAAACATTTTACCATGTTTTTAGTTTTTACCAAAGTTTTTTTTGGGTATAATTACCAAATTCATTTTATCATGTTTCTCTTTCTCGATTTGGCATTTCTCCATAGTAAAACCCTGCCCAACAACACTGGTATAGACTAGACGAGAATCTTCTGCTTCCATGGATCTGCGGTTCTTTCACACCATCTCTATTTTGAAGCTTCGTTGAGTTCCATAAATCACTCCAAGAACCGATCAAGCTAGAGTATTGAGTTTCGTTCTAGCTCTCAGCTTCAGGAGCAGTTTTAGCAGCCAAGAAGAGGAAAGGTTTGGTCTTTACGACATTTAGATGAGTAGAAGCGTGAATTAGAGTCTGGGCGGTAAAATCTGGGGAATTAAAGTAGAAATATGAGGATCCCGAG